GGTATTTAAATTGAATAGAGACAACTGTGGATTCAGTACATGATTTCAAAGTTAATTGCTAATGGGGTCGCCTGATAAAAGACACATTAAGCCTATGAACAATACATAGATATATCCGATATTATACTGGAATGTGGGAAATGTCCATCACTTATAACATTCTTGCTTCTGCCATTGCATGACAGTGTACTGTGATATGTTACACAGACCAAACATTTCGGGAAATGGTCTGCGCCACATTTGTTCGTTTGTTTGTTGTTGGCTATTTAACAGATATAAAAATCACCTGACGACTTAACGGAAAGTTGATAGCAAATCAAGTATTTGAATATATAATCAGTTCGACTGGACACACTACTGAAATCTTATTAACATTAACATTAACGATATACTATTAACATCATTACATAATAATACTTTTTATCGTATGAGTTTCTTAAATTAATTAGTATAACTCATCATATGATCTATCGAGAAATGTGCATTTTCTTTATCCTACTTACAAATTTATTCAAATATTTTTACTATTTTTGTACAAAATATTTTTCCCGAGTCAAACTTGTTAGCGACAGCATAAACGATTACTCTATGTTGCTGGTGTCGAATTGTGTTGTGTCATGTAGGAATGAACTATGAATCTGTGTTTGCTTCATGTCGATCGGGAGGTGGCGGTCTCTTAGTTTCATCGTACCGTGCAAGAGAATCTAAGGCATCCCATGTCGACAGTGCAATATATGCACCATGCTTATCATTTCATATTATCCATTCTGAGTGCGTGACCAGTATTTGGACAGGTTTAATTAGTAATAGCTTGTGATATTAGACAAAGAACACGATACACATACAGGACCAGGCTTGATGACAGACACGAATAAGGCACTTTTCAGAAATATATGTTGTTGACACTTGTAGTATTTCATCGCATCATATGATTATATACCTCATTTTCAGAATATGGGTGGTATCCCACGTACTATGAATAAATATTATTAGCGATTTAATTTTAGGTAATTTAAAACGTGATGTCGCTTATAGCTCTGTCTTGAAATACACAATAGAACCCAGCGAATATATATACCATTGCAACTTACTATTATTACAAGCGATGTATATAGCATCTGGCGACATGCCAACACCACAAAGTTATACAAAAATAATTGCTAATATCTAACATTCAGATCTAGGTTGAAAAAATGTAAAAGATAAATCATATAACAATGTTATAACGAAGAGCTGCCCTTGACAGCAGATGGCTAAACCTGAAGTCAAGAACCTTTGATCTTTCAAGATTTCATAGGATTCTAGAAGCAATCTCAGAAGAATTGCAGTAGTGCCAGTGACAGATAAATACACCCATTACTGTTTACATTGTGTACGTTTGATCTATTGCAGATATGTCAAGATTACCCACCGTGACACAGGCAAGATTTGGAGATGATCAATGTGGAATGGTGATATTTCTGTATGATATTCTAAAGACGTGTTGCCAAAATACCATTACACGTCGCAAGGGAAAATAAACATCTCCTACTCGACGAAGTTATTCCAGATTAGTTTTCCCCGTTGTACTTGACCAAATACACGAAGTGCAAGCTATTCTAAAGATTCACTGGACAAACTCTTTTATCATAATATACTTATTCAAAAACACATTCAAAAGTTTAATTGGGGCGAAAACATTTATAAACATGTTTCTCGTTAAGAAGTACAAAAACATTCAGTGTACAAACCATTCATAATGCATTTGTTTAGAATCCAACTACTTGTCAGACTATATGGTACCAGAACTCTCACGTTTACGAAACAAGAGATTAGCACTATTGCACATTACACTATTTGTCACTTCTACCTTCGCAAGTGTCAGTGTTGAACTATGTTTATTGTTTTTAGGCTTCGATTTCCCCGTATCAGTCATCTGACGTTATTGTACGTGCACAATATTGATGCACAGAGAAAACAACCAAACGCCACGACGAGTAAACTAAGAACCTATACAACTTTAACAGCTGTGTATTTCCGATTATCACGGGTACACGTACAGAAACATACCACGGAGTAGTACATATAATTGAGGTCATCTATCATGAGATATCGATCAGAGATGTCAAAGTAGTGTATATTTCTACCCTATTCCATCACTATGTGTGCAATATATAGTTTAACGAGTTTTGAGGAACAGTTTAGATTACTGGAAACACCTTTACTCGGATTCACCCTTCAGGTTTTGTCATAAATGTTGATGTCGTAAGGTTTTATATCGATAAAATCTAAGTGTCCTGATTGAATTGGTAGACACATTGTTAGCTTCCAATAGGTATGTGTCCTCATGTCGTTGTCTTACATCAGAATAATGTAAATTTTATTTTAACAATATCATTTGATGGTGTTATTTTTTGTATTATGAACCCCAGACCGATGAGCAATATAATCTATCCCATATAAGATTTTACGACAATAATTTATTTTCTCTATATGTTCTAGGTATGTTATTTTCTGTTAACTGCAAGTATTTTTAAAGCGTACATTCCACAAATAAGTTTTCTGTGACGAATATTCTCCATTGTCCAGTCTGTATTCACGAGAGACCATTCAGTAAACGAAGGCCTATTCGCATAGCCATTCAATCCGATGGCGTTCAAGGTAGTACAAATCATTATTTAACCAATAAAATGAGCGCATTTGTACAAAGTCTTTTTCCCAGTGTTTTTCTCGCGATTTGAACCATTCAATATGACCTGGAAACTTGTAACAAAGCAACCACTATCAACTGATTTAGTGTCATTTAATGTTAATTTTATAATACAATTATGTAGTTTTCGAACAGATTAGCAGTGGCATCCTAGATTAAGTTTTTACCATGTTGCAAGTTTTGTTACACGTTGCGTAACTGCCTGTAGGGGGCAGGTGAATTGTCCTTTTGCGGAAGACCACTCCCAGGGCAAGATAACAACATAACATGTGTCACAATCACGTTGATTTGCTATAACAATATGATATATTGAAAGTAGATATCCTGTCATTCCCATTCCACGCATTACGTAGATAAACATAGCTACAATGTAATTAACTTTCAAGAACAAACTTAGCCTCACATAGCCACCAATGTCTACTGATTCCACAATTAATATAATTCAGTGCAGAATACATAATCTTCAGTTAATTTCTAATTACCCATCCATATTCTCAACATTGTTCAGTTCATGCTATCTCGCACATTTGGAAAGTCTGAATTAAACGCTATGAGTACGTCGTTTATATGTAATGTCATATATAGCCGAGGTGTCTACCAGAATCCTGCGATCTTTCGACTGTAAGATTTATCATGTGTGGTAATAGGGCAGCTGTCTTCTAACGAACATCACCAAGTGTACACATTTTCCACACCATAAATAATCACACAGAAGGCAAGACGTCACACCGACACGCATTAGTATCGTTATGGGAATCAATCATTTTGGTGACTTATATAACACGTATTACTAGAGCAGGTACTGGGAAATAAGTTGATATAATGGCCCTTATAGACGAATCCATATAATTCATCTGGTTAAAACGTGAATTCAAAACATGTAAACACATATTTGGATGTCCATCTTACTGTGTTTGGAAACAATAAGAACAGTTCTTCTATCAGAATTTTTTTTCCAGATATTATTTTTTTTACCACGAAATTTTGTTATTCTTTGGCCACACCTAGAAAAGTGAAATATACACGGAAATAAAGTTATATGGAGTCTACGAGTTCGGGGTTATTCCAAACTTTTCCAACCTTTCCAATCCAATCTGTGTTTCACGCTCACTACAGCCTTGTAAATGTATGTGACAATTTTGAAATACAAATCTGAGAATTATTATATAATATCTTGAAAAATCTTACCATTTCAATGATTTGTGACAGGAAAAACTCGACATGTACGTTGGTAACTGTGGTAGATTCTTTGACAGGTCTTACTAATGGGCTGTAAATTTCAAACAGGTCTTCTATCAGTTTGTAATGGTAAAGACTACCCCTCACTTCTGTAAAAAAAAAATCAAAGAAAATTGCGTAAAAGTTGCTGAACATGTAAGTATTATATTATGAAATCCAGTATTTTGTGAACGCGCGATCGATCGGAGATCAATTCACAAATTCCGGTTTCCGAACTTTACCTGCAATAAATTCGGACGACTGCCATGTCAACACTTGCACGGACTGTCCAGTACTGGCGTTTACTGAATCAAACTCTTCTATGTAATGCTGTATCTATAATGTGTTATAATTAACCTACATACGGTGGCAGATATGTGGTAGTTATCGACATCTCCATACAATGGGGTATAAATCACATTAAATATAAGGTCCTTGCAAGACATTCGCTAAACGTTCGACGTCGTCTGGTGACAACCGGCAGAACGCCAAAATACCTAATTGAGAATGACGTAACAGTTGTCCTGACAAAAATTACAAAGTACTAAGTGAATGTTTATATTCGTTACAAAACAGATAATAACTTATATATTACTCTGATCTTTTCATGTTTATTTGATTTGAAACATCATTTAATTCAATTCTCAAATAAAATTAGACATGGCTTAAGGGATTGCTGGATAATTATTATAGGACTTTATCTGGCGTGATTCTAATAGTACGCATCATTGTAATTTAAAATTTTCAACACAAGAAAAGCACGTATGGTTTGTATCCACACAAAAGGCAATAAGAGGTACTATTATCATGAAACAACTCTAATATATTACTAGGACAGTGGCGTATTTCATACACACACTATGATGTATTCAGTGAACACCCTCATTCATAAAATGTCACATTATCTCAAAACACTATCATATGTTTTTATTGAATCCATGATAGGATGTTACTGTCATTACTGTTGCATTTGTCCTTGAGCGAATCACGTTGCAGACATACACACACATGGCCTGCAGCATGAAGTGTACATATACAGAGACAATTTCCGTAACTCTGGGTTAGATGTGCTTACTAAAATGCTATCGCTATCACAGTATTGAGATACCACCTCACTAAAAATGTCGTAGGACAGCCCTACGTGATAATATGAATTTAGAGAAGAAATTGTATTGAGTCGTCATAAGGAAACTGAATTGGACTTTGTCGATTCATTGAAAAGAACGCATGAAATACCCATATAATCAAATGTTACTAGTATTTTCACAAGGAAACGTGTGGCATTCACTATGATAGTCACTATAGAGAGAGTTCAAGGTGATGGTATGTCATCTGAGTCACTGTTGAAAAGTTTACTTGTGTTATTGGTGTGCCATCTGTTAGTCACTGTAGAGAGAGTTCAATGTGTTATAACAGTATGTCATCTGAGATTTCATTATATGTGCTATTGGCATGCTATCTGAGTTCACTGTATGGTATTAGTAAGACCCTGGGCTAAAAATCGGTTCTCTTCGATCATAAAAGCCAAGGATCGACAATTCTACTGACTGAGCTGTGAGGGAATGTCCCATGATTACACATGCACGTATCAGCACGTCACTTCAATGTACACAAAATGGCTACAAAATACGCTATTTTCAGCCATACAATATGTAAATTTGAACAGGTAGTGAAATCGATCAGGGATTTCTAGAAATGTCTCAATCGTCGCATCGTCGATTTCGGTAAAAGGGGTACAATTTTAAGAATAAACACCAATCAGCAGGAATGAATCTGAAATATATTAAAACCCGTAGCTTAAAATGTGCAAATATTTCAAGAAATATTGTGATTTAAAATAGATTTCCGAGGCTGTCTTCACATGATGCAAGTTGAGAGTACAACTTCCCCCGTCACTATTTAGAAACAGGACAGTTTTTGAATAACAATAGCCTGGTTTCCAGGTCGACGAGTTGTGCGAATAGATAGTAACTCTACTTAATGAGTTAAGCAGGTGATTTGATTGAAAGCAACATGTAGTTCACGATATACATGAATACATTTCTACAGGACATTGGCCATTTCGCATACACACACGATATGAATAGACTCAATCCTCGGTAGAGCTGCCGAAAAAAAAACATCTGACATTCGCCAAATTCTCAATATTACTTCATTAGTGTACAACAACTTTGATGCTTCCGGCTTGTTTTGGGTCAAGGTTCTATTATTAAAATAAGAGGCATGGCCTCGGACCTTTACTGGAGATTCGACCCTAATCAGGCTGTTTACCACCATTAGCGCCCTTTAATTATCAGAAAGAACAAGAATTACATAAATAAGTATGTATGTGAACAACATTCAAACATATATAATATTGTGGTCGGGCAAATTCACCGGGCATGAATGCAACAAAAATTGTCAGTATATTGTACTCAACGGTTTCACGGATGTGTAATGACAGTGGAATATTGATGTTTGGAAAGAGTGATACGGCGCGATATCACTGTGTTATCGTGCAATAACCTAGTCATCAATCATGGTTTTAACGATCTTTATTGGCAGCTAAATTCTCGAATAAACTATTATTTTAGTTACACAATTCCTTTCATGACCATAGTCGTTCAGCCAATCTGTTTATATAGATAACTCTTGTTATGATATGTCAAATGTGGCAAATGTTCGCACCCGAATAAGCTAGGAGACAAACCAGCAGGACTATTTATCTTCTGACTTGTTTACACATTTGCGTTTCTTTGACTGAAGTTGGTACATTTCTAATCAAACGCGATTGAAAGCTTGGCGGACATCTGAATAAAAAATACAGGGTTTCATAGGAAAACACGGTGAATGGGGACGTAATAGCTGCCACATGAAATGAATTTACAAATACGAGAACTCTGAAGGAGAAAATAATGAGAAGAACCGACCCTAAAAGAGGAATGTGTTATATTTGAGAAACATACCACCAGACTGTGGGGAAATAAAACAAAACATTTATTTGCCCATGTTACAAAAACCTACTACCGTATCACATGTTTAAATTCCAATGTACTTACTCAAAAATATTTAAACCAAGTTCCTATTAAATTAAAATTTATTACTCATCCTGATCGTGTCACGGCATACAAACAAACTACGTTATGAACACCCCAAGCAGAAACGCTGGACCGAATTAAGCTATCTGTTGATAACGAGGTAATGTTTGATGACATGGCAACGGATATCAAGAGAATAATTTGTTTCCCATTTTACGAACGGGGCTCACCAAACATGACTTATTACCCGGTGTTTAATTAATCCGGTTCTACATACACATTGTGGTATCATTACAATTGTTAATTTATGTTTACATACCCAAAACAAGTATGAGTAAAAGAACGGATACAGATTAAGAATCAATGATGGCGAATGAATCAGATAGCAAGGCCATTGTCGTCATCGTGACGCAGCGCGCGTTTGAATTTAATTATTTTGTCATAGTAAAACTTTTTTAACGAGCTACACGTGACTACAAATGGTGTTCAACAAACTATAATTAACTGTAAAAAGTTGGTATAAGTGTTATTTGTGAAAACGTCAGTAAAACCATGTGAACTGTTTCATGCATGAGCATGGAACTCACGATTATTAAATAATAAATAATAACTTAGAATGCCTGGCTACCCTAAATTGTCCATTATTGATTTAGCTAAAGTTTTCATAATGGCGTGACGTAATGGGGTCCCTTATTCGTCGATACACAGAGAAATATTTAATTTGTTAATTTTGGCAAAGTAGTCCGAGGGCCTTAAATAACGCGAAACAATAAAACGTTTATTATAATACTGAATTGTGATATTGTCATTGAATTAAAGCACCTTTCAAACTACGAATAGTCGTTATATTCTATGTGTGCAAGTGTACCATTCAGAAGAACTAATAATCCCACAAACTAAGAACCCGTAATTGTAAGTAATTTTGTTTCATGACAATCAGAATGTGCACTACCACACACTTTTCTTATCAATGTTCCGCAATGCTAGTTTAAATTTCAGTATACGGCCATGTTAGAGAAAATTATAGACCTTAGAATATGTATTTTAAGGTCTATGAGAAAATTGAGCGTTGATTTATTATTTGAAAGTATTAAATTCCGTGGAACATCTGAAAACATGTGCATAGATGTGATCAACCATAATACCATATATTCACGAGTTCACATCGCTTTATTATTGAGTGTATATTTGCTCTGTGAGTAACCTTGGTGAATCAAAGGGGAGTGGTATTTTTTTATATCAAATTTTCCATTGATATACAATTACGAGTAATTTTATGTTTGTATTATGTTCACGGGTCCATGTTATATTATTTTGTGATTTCCCCCACAATGGGTCGCATTTTTTTTATTTTCAGTAGTAGATATTGTATTCAAAAGTTATTGTTACATTCCATATGGTAGATGCAAAGTAGTTTTGAATAGATTGCATATTTTGCCCTTAAGTCCGGGATATCCTTGGAAGCATCGAATATAGTTTAGTCTCCAGAGAAATCAAATCGCCCTTCACCTTTCGCTATGTCTCATGGTGGTATTTGTGATATTCGCTCAATCCGCGATGCAATTCGGTAACATGAACCCGTTTATGAAGTTCAAACCCACCAGACAGACTGTGGCATAGGAAAGCTATTCAATTTATGTTAACATGTCACTCCCATTTAAGCTGAACAGCAGATCTGATGACGTGGATTCGCTCGTGACGTCACTTATGCGTCGATATACAGAAGAATACTTACATCAAAATAAAGACTAAAATCACTAAAAATAAATATGTAATTTTTATTATTTTTGGCAAAGAAGTCGGAAGGCTTTGAATAACGGGAAACAATAATCTTACAGACTATTATAAGACACCAGTAACGATACGTATTTTTTTCATAAAAACCAGAATGTGCTCTACCGTATCAAACATCACGGTAAAGGTTACGATCAATTGTCACTGTACCATTGACCCCAACTGTAAAAGCTGCATTCCCGTGTGTAAAGTCAATCAAGTCGGAGTTAATTATAGTAATCGTCATATCCGGTTTACGCATATCTCTGATGGACAGAACCAAACATATTCAGATTGAACAATACTGAAAAATATAATCAGCTTTACTGCTCGGTGAATGTAAGATAAAAGATGTGTTGCTTTGTGTGCAGTTTTATTTTTCACATGTTAGATCACGTGACTTTTTGTTACAAACTTTTGCGCCTATTAACAGATGGTTGAACACTTTAATTCATTGAATCGCTTTGAAAGCGATTCATAACACACACGCTGTAAAATACGTGTCACCGTGACAAGCACGCCTCTTGTCATGTGCAACAAAACCACAGCACATTTCGGTAGATTTCCCTGTGTTTTGAACTGCTATGGTCGAATCGTATCGTAT